TTAGTGAACTCTGAGACTCAAACATTTAGTGGACTCTCTCAAATACTAAGTGGACTCTGAGACTCAAACAATTTAAGGACTCTCTCAAACATTTGGTGGACTCTGAGACTCAAACAATTAAAGGGCTCTCTCAAACATTTAAGTGACTCTTTCAAACAAATACCGGTATTTGATTCCTGCAAACATTTTATGGACTCTTTCGAAATTTCAGTGGACTTTCTCGAATATTAAGTGGACACTTTGAAAAATTTAGGGACTCTTTCAAAATTAAGTGGTCTCTTTCAAACACTATTTCGTCTCAATGTCCTCAAAATCAATGTTAAGCTTCCAGTCGCAATCTTAGATCATACACTGTAACATAATTGTACTTCGGAAAACGAAAACTTTTTTTTTATAATTGCAAAAACCATGAAAAAGAATACTTAAAGATTTGAAGATTTTTGAACAAAGTTGCCATCACAAAAATTGTATACTAGAAAATTTTTAATTGTAATAAAGATTAGTCTAGAATAATTGTCAAAGGCAAACTTACTGCGTTCTTAAATGATCTTGACATTATGGCATCAATCTTTAATAATTCTGTTTGCAAATCCATGTCATAAAAACCTGGACATATACTTTAAAGACATTAAATTATTACTGAAAATATAATAACCATTTGTCTTTTGAATCCAACTCTTTGTATTGAATCGAAAAATAGTGCGTAATGTATTCCTATTACACAAGACTTTGATTTACTATTTTAAGCAATGATATTTTCGAAAACTATAATTTTTAATAGCTAACTATAGCTGGTTTAAAACACTTCAGTATTTTTTGTAAGGGTTAAACACAACAAGACAGAGGGTTTGATTTTATTCTTTCGTAATACTTATCTTTAGCAAATTTACAACCATTTTCATACACCAAAAAAAAATATTATTCCTCTTATTTAATAATTCCCCAAAGACGCTGTTTATTGATCTATGTCTGGAAGAAACACGTTTTTTTTTTTTTTACTCCTTTTGCAACTCATGTATTTTTTTTAAATAATGTGCTCGATGCGTATCAGCCAAAAAAGGGTTTACTTGGAGTATTTTCGAAAGTGTGTTTCGTTATTGTTAGATGTAATTACTGACAATAATCGACGCATGAATGATGATGGATAATTTCCTCACGCAATAAAATAAATGAGGATAACGAACATTGATTCAATCTCAAAAGTCCATCCCCTGCCGACCGGTCACACACGCCGTGTGCCCCTTGACATGAAATGGAAATAACGGGAAAATCCGTCTTCAATTCAATGTGCAAAAAATGCCCTAACAATTAATATGAAAAACGTCAGTCAGCATTTGCCTCAGGGATAAATTGTATTTGCTATAAGGTCATTTCATCGACCATAGACTAGGAGACTGCTGATATTCTTGTTTCATCAACTTGTTTGTCAATAATTTACCTCGTGTGATCTTGTATATACATAGAGCATGTTCTTGCGTATCGAATCAACTGAGAGATATAAACTCAGTATGCAGGTGATGAAGGTATATTGCTGCATAAGTAAGGTAAAATGACAATTGAAAAGTTAAAATCATCAAGTTTGTCATAAAGCTTGGTTGTTAGTAACTATTAACGTCCTTTTAAAGTAAAATATTCAAATATGAAACAGATGTGTCAGACTCTGTACTATCTTTTATCTCAAGCTCACCAGGATATATCGCAATCGACATAAGAATGGAAATACCCATGGTTATTAATTAACAATCCGTCATCATTAATCTAAATGTAGAGTTGAAGGCCACAGGAAGTGTTCTCTTCTTTTCCCGCATACGATTTTGAACAGATTCTGCTTCATATGAATACAAAAGTAGGTCTCCTAATAACGGGGCGTAATGTGTACACATGGGAATTCAAGTAGGGTGTTGGAAAACATGGTCTCCAAAAACCACAAAGATATTATCAGTCAGAAACTGAAGCATCTTTTTATATCGACTTCAAAATACTTGAATTTACAATCAGAATGTTTTTGTACAAAATAATTTAGCAAATGACCAATGCCAAATTGAGTAAATTTACGAGTTCCATTTTATTCAAATTGCAGCAGTTGTCAATTACTGTACGTGTACTAAAAATAGCGGGCTTCATATATTAGCATCTTTGGCGTGGACAAGAACGCGCCAATTCATGAATACCACTAAGAAATCATTTACTAATACAAAACAAGGCATGGACATGTGTAGCGCTAATTCTTGATTACGCTTACAACTCTATACCCCTTCATTTGCTTCTTTTGGTAAAATTTTGTGACTTCAAATTTTCCAAACGTTCCTTTGGATTTTTAAGTATCCACATCTGTTTTACACCACCTCTTGAAAAATTATTGCACAGTACTGAAGTTTCTCCTCCACAACTGTTAATATTTTAGTGCAAATGTTTCTTTTGCCTTTTTTACATTAAATATCGGTTCTTACAACAGGATTTTTGTAGACAACAATGTGCCCACTATTATTGATCACAAATATCCTTTCACATGATATTCCCTTCAAAACAGAATTCTTACCTGTTATTCAAAGCATAATTGCTTTTCAAGCCGATTAACACCTTGCTAAGTTTATGAACATCTACGACGATTTACAGTAAGTGCAATATACTTACATCCACAGAATATTTAAGAAAACCATTGCTGCGGATTTATCTATTCACGATAAGACTAGGCATATCGCCTGTACAGATTTCTCGATCAGTGATTGTTCCATCAATGAAACGTACTATGACGTACATATAAATCCCACTTTAAATGATTATTAATACAGATATAAATATAATATACGCTTACGAGGGTTACGTATTTTTTCTGCAACAGCTGCGGCATAAATTGCCATACTAACAACCAAAGGAAGCATTTTATTATCTAAATTGATATCTGTGATATCAGACAATATTGTCCATCTCAAACGTGTGTCAGGAATTAAAGTTTTGAATCTCAATGGGAAATAAAGAGGTTTGATGAAAGAATCCACTGAGAAGGCCTTCGGCTTTTAAATTATTTGATCAGTTGAACGAGCCATTACATTTCCTGTTTTTTTTTTTTCGTTTCTTTTTTGAAATTTCTTAAATAACCAAGTAGAACGTTTAAAATAAGATGACTTCAAGTTAGGATATTTAGGAAGAAATGTGATATGATGTCTTTAGTATGTCTTTCACCTGATAAAGTATTCACGTACATGTTCTATGTATACAAAATTATATCTTCTAGACGGCTACGCAAAAAATAAGAAGATACAGCCTTTATTTCTTTTACATTTTGGCCAGAATGTTCAACGATTAGACGGCTCTAGCATGTGTGCATTAAACAAATAATGTTATAAATAATAGATTAGAAGGAATTAGTCGCAAATTCAATCTTCTTTTATTTTAATTTTAGTTCATTTTATATTTTCTTTTTCTTTTTTCTTTTTCTCTTTATAATTATTTTATTTTGTTTTGCAATCTTTTTACAAAGTCATTTCTCTGCAATTTGTACACATACTACGTTTAAGTACAAATGAATGTTGTAACTATTTATTGGTTTGATACAGTACGTCCATAAATCTAACGTTAGTCTAAAGGACATTAAGAAGCAAGATATCAAGCCCACTTTATTTTATTTTGATTCTAAGGGAATACGCATTGCTATGCACGCATTTCACAAAAGCAAAGACAATGACAAGCTTTGGAAAAGTTATCACAACTTAGTCAGTGGAATAGACGTCTATTTATTCTTTGACTTAACTTTAAAAAACAAAGGTGAAGTCATTAATAATTTCAAGTGCATTGAACCTCAGTATATTGACAGTAGACTGTTGTGTCAATAATTGAATATATATCAAAGATAAGCTTTTTAGGAAAAATGACTATTGATATGAAATTAATATATGTGGAGATACCGAATAGTATTCAACTAGGTCTTTTTTCTGCATAGAATAGAATCAATTTTAAATATATGTAGTTAAGGTATATGCAGGATGAACACTCAAGGAATAAAAGGAGAGTCGAAAGTCGTTGAATCTAACACACGTATATATACAGTGTGTTCTAATATTGTATATCGGTGAATCCTTAATGCTTGTTAGGGGCCAATGTACGTGGAATTCGAAGGTTACACTTATCCACGAATTAACATCCCAAAGAACATTAATTTTGTGAAACATACGAAAATAACGAATAGTATTCAAGAAAGTCCTGAAACAATACAAAATAGAAGAAGAGCAAACACGGACCTCCAAAACATCACAGATGGGATCAGGTGTCATGCAGGAGTGAGCATCCCCTGTCTACCGGTCACATGCGCCGTGTGCTCCTTGTCAATTTTATTTACAGAATTTTGTGAATATGAGTGACATTATGTCCCCACGAACCAACAAAATTTAGCTTGCTCACTAACAATTAAAATGCCTTCACAGTGTATAACCAACGTACATGTATGTTAATTGTATGTTAATTGTGAGTTTCCTAATGTTTATCCTTTGATACAGAAACAAAAAGAAATAAATTTCAGTCTAGATCTGCAACTCACATAAAAATTTTCATTTGTTTATCGCTAAGTTTTTACCGGCAATGCTCATAGCAATTATTCAATCGCAAAACGAAAATATTTTGTATGATTTTATCAGTTAAAAGCTTCTTAAAAAATAATATGTTTTCTACCAAAACAAAGAAATATAATATTTTTAAATAGCAAAATTTATCATTGGGTCGATGTATTTGTATATTAAACGTTTGCTATAAGTAGTCTAGTTTTATTATTTTTTTTATAAAAATGGCAATTTTTATGCTTTATAATTGCACGTTCTTATGTCTCGAGGCATACGTGACTTATGTCGTTCAAATACCCATATGACAGTGCATTTTCCTCACACGCTATAATTAGAAATGTCAATTAAAAATTCACCCAATGAAATAATCCTCGTGTTAAACATTATATATCTATATATATAAGAAAGCCAATTCTGCATTTGAATTATTCTTGAATTTGAATTACAATGTATCACACAATACAGTCTAGAAAAGTTCTGAGGCTTGAAAATAAGAAGAAACCTGATACTTCATCTAGTCATAGGAAGTCATTTCGAAAACAATGTAAGACTTTCTCCGGATATGGACAGAAACGAGAAAGTCTTTCTTTGTATAAACCTCGATCTATGACAATATCTGCGCGCTCCAGTCTGCATTCACACGACCGTAATAATATAAGAAACTTGTCAATTGAATGCAGAGGATACAAAAACTGCGGTGACTCCTTCTACCTTTCCAATTTCTTGGGCGAAAATATGAGAAGCTATTTTCCTTATCATCAAATGGTCGAAGATGGAACAACTTCAGATTTAGATATCAGTGGCATTCCATGCAAGATAAACGTCATGGGAGCTCCAAATGTTGGAAAGACCTCACTCATACAAATGTTCACAAGTAAACCATCCGGATGCATCTCTAAACTCCAAACAGATGAGGGTAAGTATGGTTAGTATACCTTGGTAAATTATTGCAATTATTAACATATGTCTGCTTGCCTTCCAACCACAATCAACTAAAAAGAAAAAAAGTGGTCTTTTATTGATATATGCAATAAATATGACAGTGAATCAAAAGCAAAATATACAAAAAACATGTACAAAAGTAACATAAGATTTATACATCAAAGTCAAAAGTAAAGAGACAATTAAAATCAAGTTTGTAACTGAAAGCAACAATGAATTAAATCTTTTAAAAAAAGTGATATCGAAAAAATTATTTTGTAGACGATTTGTGCGATGAAAAGTTGCTCTTGAGGGTGGATGACACTGTCGTTAATTTGGAATTCCACGAGACAGATATGCGTATGCAGGTATGTACATTCCTTTTAAACCTGATTTATGATCTTTAACGTTGAATACACACAAAGTACAATTATTTCCCGATCATGACAAGGAGCCAAGGTGGGTGTGACCGATCGGTAGGGGATGTTCACTCCTCCATGGCACCTGATCCCACCTCTGATGTTTTAGATGTCTTTGTTTGCTCTGCTCCTATGTTGTATCGTTTTATGGACTTTTGAGCTTGAATCCTGTTCGTTATCTCCATATATTTCATTAATAACTTAAACATTGAAGACATGCTAAGTACAATTGTTCTATATTGTAGCGAGATATCCCTAACCGAGATTCTGACGCCTTCTTTCTTGTATATTCACTGGGGGATCGCAGGACTTTGTCAACTGCTGCCACAATATTGCGACAAATGCGAAATAAATACAAAGTGACCTCTCCAATTTTCCTCGTCGCCAATAAAATGGATCTTGTTGGCAAAGTGTCAATTTCAAAAGATGGTGAGATTATTGCTATATCATCATTTCTTATAATTTTTCGGGGGAGGGGATATCATTATTAACATTTCTTTCTTGCAGAAATTTACTCATTTATATCTGTTTCATTGTTGCTTTGCAGATGGAAGACTTTTAGAAAAGGAATTCAAGTGTAAATACATGGAAACATCCCTTTTGCATCAAAATGATTACCACAAACTGCTTCTCGATATTATTAAAAAGATTTTAGTCAAAGATGAATTCTACAATGATGAAGAATCCATTAGTTTTGAGCTGGACTCTTTGCCGGTAACCAAGAAGATCAAAATCAAGGGACCAATTTTAAGACTAGTATCTAGTATATTCAAATGCTGCTCAAAATAGCATCTGCAATCAACTTCTAATAATTAAGTTATCAAAGCAAAATTTCAATTGTGTCTTTTGCATGCTGTTGAGTATAGCGTTCTTCAATGTTGAAAAAATTGAAAATATTGAGCAAAGGGTATTCTAAATCTCTTAAAGATAAATATATAGAATCTGAGAAATAAAGCAATAAAACAATGTTCTTGATTTTATCTTTGAAAATACTCGTGTCTATCGTCAAAACCAAGCAAAGTCGTTTGTAACTTTAGTTCTCTAATTTTATGAACATTGATGTGTAACTTTACCCTTCAGAGAATTGAGTGATGTTGTATGTATGAGATTTTTTCAGTCACTTAGATACGTCATCTTATACCGATAAAGGACTTCAAATGTAGACCTTTACTCGGCAGTTAGGGCCATAGAGCAGTGAGGATTCTCTGTAGTGCCAATGCCTCTGGTGACACGGGGCCTCGATATTGAGGATTTTGAGGTCTCATACAATTGATAGCAACTTTGCCTACAACATGCCAAACGCATTTGCTTGGCAAAGGAACAATCGCTACCTATTTCTTTATCCACTTTGATCAGTCGTGGCCGTGATTCGAACAGACAACCAACCGATCAAGGAGTAAATGAACTTTACAGACTGTTACAGTGAAGGTTTATCCTTCAGTGAAAGGAATGAAATAAAGCAATAAATATCTAAAAACAAATTATAAAAAAAAGTTATGATAATACATGAATATTGACACAATTAATTATTTTAAGGTACATTATACTCTGGTAAGAGAGATAACTCTAAATGACACAAATGTCTGTTATTCCTTTATAAATTTGTCGAGTTTTGTCAAATTTTGCCCCGCAAGCCATTCTATACATTGTTTGTATTTTATTCAGCATATACATTTCTTTTGGAAATCATAAAAGGTAAAGAAAATTTTCATATGAGTGAGCATATGAATGAACCTTAAAATAAAATACCCATGCCGGGTTCTAAAAATATTAAGAAAAGTCAGTTTAAGGAATATCCAAAATTGAAGACTAAAATGCACGTTTAGACATGCTTATATTCAGGTTCCCGTTCATTTGTAATTAGTTAGTATTTTAGTGTCAAATTATCATTTTCCATATATACCCATTAGTCCAAATAATGTCATAGTTCATACTTATTATCTTGATTCATAGCAAATTTCTAACAAAAAATGATTAAAATATGAAAATAACGAAAGGTTATCATGAACAAAGTTTCATGGAATAATCCAAAATTTACAAAAGAGAAAACATGGACCTCTAAAAATAGAATTGAGATGGGATAAGGAGCTGTTGAGGATTAACCAACCCCTGTCAGTGAGTCAAACCTTCCATGTTCTGCATCAGTATTGGTTACGTATTATGATTTATATTATGACCCCTAGGTCGAGGCTTCTGCTGTAGGACTGTTTGTCCTCAACGGCTGCTACCACCCAGTAACCAAGTACTTCGGTTCTAGCTTGAAAATAGGAATACATATTTTAATGACTATAGTAAAATGAAAAAAGGCATCTAAAATGAAGGATTATCTCCCTCAGACATAGCTCTGATCCTTTGATGTATTTGTTTCAAGTCTTTGGCGCTTTTTAGTTCCTCCAAGTTTTTTTATTTAAATATTTTTGATTTCCAATGTTTCGGCTTGATCATGAGCATCACTCATTCACTGAAGAAATATAATTCGTAGATCGAATTGCGTGGTTTGAAAGTTTTAGAAGTTTTTACTTGTGTTGTGAGTATTCATATTGTATAAATCATGCAGGATAGTGTCTTGATTCTCGGCCATTCATTTATTGTTCGTCTACAGCGGTTCATGAATCGTTCTGAGCATTTACAGGCTAATCTTGGTTTGAATCTCAGGGAGAAAGCATATTACGGAGGATATTCGGGTTGTACAATCGATAGAATATCGCTTAGGGGCCTGTGAGAAGTTGATGGGTTTAAACATGCTGTGGTGTGTCTGCAGATAGGTTCGAACGATTTATTGTAACTTAGATGTTCAAGTATACAACCTGGTTGAAGAAATAGTTTTATTCACCGATAAGCCCCGGGGTCGTGGAGTGCAGAGGGTATGTGTTTGTCAAATTCTGCATAGAAAACCACCCAGTAAACCTGGCAGATTTTCAGTAGACGTTGAGTGGTTCAATGCCAGGGTGAATGTGGTTAATAGGATTTTGAATGATCGGTTAGGAAGAGACGTTGGCTCTGGGTTCAGATTCTGGCGGCACTCAGGATTTTGGTCACAGGAAAATAAGGAAATAGTGTACTATGAAGATGGTGTGCACCTAAATGAAACATACGGGTACCCAAAATATTACAATAGTGTTAGGGCCTCAGTTGTTTCAGCACTTAAAAGCTTACAAGTAGTTGTATAAACTTGAATACAAATACACTGTTGTGGTCAAATGGGGTAGCTTATGCATTGTTTTATCATGGAACTTATGCTGTTGGTATGTCAGGCAATGCAACCGAATGACCTATGTTTATCTACAACTATTAGGGTTTATTGTCGTTTGTTGTTCACCTTGTAAAAGTTACGATCAGTCGATTAGCTTGCTTTTCATTATTTGCCACAGGATTTGATGCATGAAAGTTTCATGGGTTATTTTAAACAGGTATTCCCAATGTATATTACATGGATTTATGCCCTATATGGTTGGGCTATAAATACTATAGCTCTATATGGTTGAGCTAAATGTTATGGTGTTATGGTGTTATGCTCTATACGGTTGGGCAATATATACTATAGCCCTATATGGTTGGGCTATATGTATCCCAGTATGGTTGGGCTCCATTGTTTATATTGAAATTTAAACATACATTGTATTTAGATGTTATACTTTTTGATTGATGTGTCCCAAACTCTTTATGTTTGACTTATAAGAAAGTCCTAGAAACATGTTTTTTTCGACATTTTTTAGCTACTCCAACACCAGGGGGACAGAAGACTTTAAAGATTTAATACAATAATATTCTCACTATATGAGCCAAACATCTCCACCCCAACACCAAATTTCCTAACCCTGGGGCAATGCTTTCACGATTTGATAGAAGACTCATAGATTGTTTCAGAATCTAATCTTTCTAGCCTTTTATTGTCCTGGTGTTTTGAATATTTTTAAACTTGTATTAATTTTGATGGTTTTTGTCCTACTTCTTAAGCTCCAAGAGGATATGAACTATGAAATGTTGTCTTACTTTGTAACTTTCCCCTACAATAATCTGCACCTAAGTTGGTTTTAATTGGCTGAACAGTTTTTAAGAAGCTGAAAATTTTCAAAAGTTAACAGCCAACGAATGACAATAAATGTCGGATAAATCAGATATCAATTAGTAACCTGGGTGACTCAAGTGACCTACGAAAAGAGAAATTTCCATCCATTAACCCCTCACCAAAAAAACCAGAAACGTATTCCAAACACTGAATTCACAATTACGTTGGTTTAAATCAAAATTATCAGACTATTCATCTGTATGTTTTTCTTACAGATTTTGCTTTACAAAGGAAATCATCAATATGACGACTCTACTGTGTCATATTGAAGAACTAAGGTTTGAGAGACAGAAAACAATTTTAAGTGTAAATATACAGAAAACATTAGTTTATAATATATCAAATAAAGATATGCATATAGAGACTTTTTCATTCATTTAGAACATAGGGTACGTGTCTTATTTGCGCAGAAAAAATGATCATATACAATAGACTATTTGTGAGCAGAAATCACTGTTGTTTACTTACAGTGGGAAAATTAATGAAAATAATTAATTAAATTTCTTACTGTTGGTCTAATATAATGCTAAAAATATTTTGCTCTATTATAAATTATCTAATTAACGGTAAATAACGATTTCTTTAATCTTACATCTACGGGCAGATCACTCTAACTGCATAAAACTACCCAGTTTATAGAGCTCTTTCTTGTGCAGTGTTTAGAGCGTCCTTAAGTGCTACAAAACTCTCCATTTACACTTTCTTCCCGAATAAAATGCTCAAAATCTACTGTTATGTTTTCTCCGTCATACTAGTATGTGGCGTATTTTGATGAGCTGTGGGGCTCTGTTTCTTTGCTTTTTGTGACAACCATTTTGTATCGTGTCCAAGGTGACCAAGATTCATTTTCTGCTCCCTGTGTTCAACGTTTTGGGCCATACTCTTCTGAAGTATTCTGTAGGCTTTAGGGTTGCCGTATTTATCTTTATTGTTTTCATTGTAAAATACGTGATATTTAGGCGAGCTGAAATTTAACTTGTATGCTGCTTCTCTTTCTGTGGCATAGTTTACCTTGACAACTTTTTCTTGGTGCCAGTTTGAAGGATTGGATGCATTAGAAAAAGGATTTGGTACTTCATCTGCTACTACTTCGTAAGTTGAATAGCTATTATCAGAACCTCCAATATTCATATCTACTTTAAAATTGAAGAAATGGAAATGCATGGTTCCCAGTGCTTGGTCGGTTAACTGAAATCTGCATTCTTTATCTGTAGATTTGAATGAGAAGACAATTATTCCTGATGCAGTGACCTTGGTTTCCATAACACCATTCTGATAGAAAATAAAATCAAATATATAGTCATAATTTACAAGAGTTCCAATCATTCTTAGTATCAGCACAACATTAGAGGCACCCTCATGGTAACCGGAAGGTGTTTCACTGGGTGCATGATGGCGCCTCAGGGGACTTCCGGTATTGTGTTCAAATACACATATCGCTCTTTTGTTAGTGACTGGGAAATCCGAAGTTTCAAACATACGCGTGGCGTTTAGGAAAGTTGCGTGTGAGGGACAATCAATGCCAGGCACTGAAGTTTTCATATAAAGACCAATCATTACAACAGAATCAAAATAATTTTTAAATCTTCAAGCAGGTTCCGAGGAGGAGTAAAATACGCAGATTTCTTGTAAACCTAATTCATAGACAATCATTTCATTCTTAAATCTGATGTTGTAAAGCTGAGGACCGTGAGATGGGGATATTCCATAATGAAATTCCCAGTTCATGTAGATGACTGCCTGATCTTTGATGGAAGAATGTCTAGCATCAGGTTCGATCTCAATAGGCAGACTCTGCATATTTTCTGGAAATTTTTGAACATGCGTACGCATCTGAGGAAAATCTAAAATCAGTTTACTAACTTCTCCTTTGTCCCACCTTTCCTTAAATCTTGGAGTGAGGCAAATGATTGGCCGTTGTACCAAACATCGGCTGTTTCTGGAACAGCACTTCCATTAAAAGTTACAAGAACGGCAAAATCTACGGGGTGTAAATTTTTGGTTCCATCAGCTGCAGAAATTGAAACCATAATCCTCGGAATCCCTTCCCCTCAACTTCTGCGATCATGGCGGCATAAGGACGTACATTTTCTACCCCTGAACAGTTTCCTACACACTGAAAGAGAGATCCCTTAAAACTTTCAAGAAGTATATCACCAGTAATTCTATTGGCATCTTCGCTCACTACATTTAGCGCAGACATATACTCTGGTAATGTGAATGGCCTGAAAGAAAAGGGAATGGATCTTGGCCCACCACAGAAGCTTGGTTGCTGTGTTAACTCTACACATTATTCTTCAACACTTGCTTCGGCTTTCCCTCCACAAAAACTGTAACCAACGCTTTCCTTTCTGGTGGACTTTGTTGAGTCGACTATAGAACGAATTTTTTCTCTGGAAGAATGAGTGCCATTGCGTATATGTAGTTAGAAGCAAGTTCTGCTTTACTTGGATGTGATAAATTTAAATACTTTTGTGAGAGCATGAACGTCAAATATAATTCTTATTTCTCCTCTGGTAAGATCGTTCAGTAATATCAATTACACCGGAAGTTGTTTGCATTCTGGGATGTCCGTAGCTTCCTTTCTTGTTTGCTGCAAGAACAATTACAACTATCAAAAGGACAGCGGCTATAACTCCTAAGACTAATGCTAGACATTGCCAGAACCTTGGATCTGTTGTTTTACCAGCAGACTTTTCCCTTATTGCATAACCGTCTTTTGCTGAAAAGAAAAAAAACAATTATCAATTAATTGTTTCAATTTCATAATTCCAATCTAGAATATATTGAAATTTTTTAAACCAAAAACTGGGTACGGTATGTATAACGAGGTTGCTCTGACTCTCAATTTAATCTAAGTTTTTTTACAAACATGCGTACGATGTGTTTATTTTTTAAAATCATCTCATACCGTTTTTCCAGCAGAGGTCTCGAAAAATGGTGCATTTTCTTCAGTAATTACAATTTTTGACGTTATAACGTTATCACGGTGTTACTGATTTTAACGTAGACGTAACGATCTGTAAATTCTCTTTTGACAGAAAAATATTCACTTAAACCGGCCAATATTCCAGTAAACCAATGTGAACTTTTCTTTATCATTTATCGTTGATAGTTTGAACTAGTTTAATAATTTGTAGGAATATTTAATTTAATCATAACAAACGATTTTACCAGACAAGCTATGAAACTTGAATTATCCAGACGAAATAAGGTAAGTTCTTTAAAAATTGAACGCATTGACTATGATGTTACATAAAACAATTTAAAGGAACATGAATAAATTTTAAAAAAGTAGATTTTTTACAATGAAAAAACTATCATCAATCCCCTCCTTCCATTCCAACAAATGGCGGCGCTATAAATGTATTTTTTTTTTTGGATACCGTACATGTATGAATGTAAATTAATTCTCTGAACCACCCCAACTTATGTCGTTATTACTGTTTTTTACTGTATATATAGATTAAAAATTTATCAAATTCATTAAAAAAAATGCTTGATTTTAATTTATGTTGAAAATTTAAAAAAAATGAAATTAAGATCAGATGACCATTACCGTATACCCTACTTTGGGTTCATACATTATCTTCTGCATTTTAATTTCGTCTTCTTTTTTTAGCAATCAAGCGCTTTGTTTTACATAGATGTAT